TTGGATGAGTGAACGGTGAAGCACAAGCTGATGGCAGCAGTTTGTTCTGGTCTTTCTCAGTTGGCTCCCGGCTGAAAAGTGAAACTCATCTGCCGGCTTTATAGCTACCAATCATTTTGACTGTGCAGGTTGTGGTTCCCCTGCCAAACGCCACTCCCGCATGGTTCCCGGGTTCTTACTGTGAGCAAAGGAACCACAACAGGCACTTCAGAATGGCAAGCAAGAGAAAAATGAGGAGCCTCCATTCCCTCATTTCCCCTGCACCGAATGGAACTGGAACTAAGTCAATTCTTCCATTTTCTTGGTTAAATGATCTGGAAAACAATGGGGTCTATTAGACCCCAAATGTCTTTGTAAAGAGTACCTGTCACCTGCCCAATGCCATTGGAGGTTTGTTAACCCCTTGTGATAGCAATACAGTTAGAAAAAAAATTAAAAGTTTAATAAAAATATTAAAATTATTTTTAAAAAATTATCCGTAACCCCTGTTACCTTGCACACACCGACACATGCAAACGCATGCTTAGAGTGCACATATGTATGTAAACTATGATCACACCACACAAGTGAGGTATCATCGGAGTGAGAACAATAATTCTAGCACCATAGCTCATGGTTAGCTCTAAACTGGTGAGCAGTTAAGGCTTTAAAACATCACCCATGGAGATTTTTTATGTTCCATAGATTTTTGCAATATCACAGGGACACACAAGTACTGACATGTACAGTGTTTATTTACTTGAAACAACCCCATCTTTTATATTTTACCAAAAAACTGGGTATTATGTGGTGTGTTTGCACTAAAATTCAGTATATTATAATTTGTTTCTGAAAATATGCCCTTGAAAAACAGTTGAGCAATAAAAATTGCAACTACTATTTTTTTTATTCTACAGGGTCTCTGCTTTTAGAAAATATACAATGTTATGGGGCTTTAAGTAATTTTAAAGCCAAAATGTAAATTTTTACATAGGTGCAAAAAAAATGCCAACAATTGCTCCAGTGCCGAAGTGGTTAAAGAATTTCTTTCACTGTTCTGTTCTGGTGACAGTAAGATAAAGGAACAGGAAGTGATGGAATACCTCTCCAATGGGTCTAAAGACAGCAATAAAATAACATTTTAATAGAGAAAAGAGAGGCTAAAAAATCTGTGATATATGTAAATGTTTTTTATGCTGCCCCCACCCCTCTGATTTCCTGTCCTTTTTTCATAGCTGCATTAAAACTGAAAACCGGAATATGCAAATATTATCTTAATTTAAGAGGCATGCATATTCTTATATTCTGTGAATTTTGGGGTGCTTTGTGTATATCTTTCACATCTGTGTATCAATCCAATGTGAAATGTGGCCCTAAGCAGGAACTTCCTGTAATAAAGACTGCTGCTCTCTCTTCTTATGCAAGGTGACTGGCCTTGTATCCACCCCCCCCTGTAGTTTTCTGCAGGCAGCCTGTAGTAGGTGGACCTGATGGGTCCCTCCCACACTTTTGCTCTTTTGGACAGGCTAATGCACAGTGATGATGCTATCACTATTTTCCAGGTACCATTTGTGTTTGGGGTGCACAAAGTGTTATATCTTTTGAGGCCATTGGGAATATACTGTATTTAAATTATATTCAAAGTGAAAGAAACTTTCTCTAAAGAAGCAATGGTCAGCAATAAAAATACAGTCCTAATATTTTTCTTATTTATAAAAAGATTAAAAAATGTATTGAGTGAGTGTAATTGACTGGAGCTTAACAGTCTTGCCTTGGGTTTGGACAGTCTTGGCTTTGGATTATGCTGCCCATTTGATATTTCTGATGTTGGAATAAAGTTAGTGCTATTGGGACCTCTGCCCAGTGAGGGAGCTAAATAAAGATATTTCCTGTTGCTTCTGATATGTAAAGGCTGGAAAAAGAAAACAAAAACTATTCATTTAAATTGTGTATTATGAGATGTCCCAGTCCCTCGTATTCTGGATACTAATCAGTGTTGCCAACCATCCGTAAATTGACAGACAGTTTGTAAATTTCAACCCGATTTACAGAATGTCTATAAATGCCCATTATGGACAGTGGCCACCATAAAAAAAAAAATATGGCTGGAGATGGCTTTGGAACTGCCCATGCACAGTACCAACGCCAAATGCGCTCAGTAGCACTCGGACGGACTTGAATTGGAAGGGAGGGCTAGGCCCAGCGTGCATGCACAGTGATTTTGGCGCCTTTAACAATTGACTGAGGGGAGCGTGAGGGAAGCGTGGGGGGAGCGTGAGGGGAGCGTGAGGGGAGCGTGTCTGGCGGCAGGGATGAGATTAGTGAAGTTCTGGAGCTGCCTCGTCGGTCCTTGCCTGATCTTGCCAACGCAGCATACCCGATTGGCTCACAGCTACCACCTGCAGCATACCTAGGCCATTCCCTCGTTCCTGCCATCATGGTGAAAGTTGGGCACACTGTGCCCAAACCACCAGGAGCATGAACCCCTAAAGGATCCTCAGGACTGGAGGCATTAAAGATGGTCGCTGAGCAGCAGCTCTATGTGCACACAAGAAGACAACTCAGGGTGAGTCCACTGTCACCACAAAAGTCCTTCCTTTACTAAGCCTAAATCTCATAGTATCATTAAAGGAGCACTTTGCTGGCCTCCACTGTCCATCTGCCCAGCAGCTATTGCTACACCTTGCTGCCGTGGATGTCATACAGGATCCTTCCTGGCAGTCTCTGACCATCTCCTGTCATATGTCTGCAGTCTTTGACCATCTCCTGTAGTATGTCTGCAGTCTCATACCCTCTCCTGTACTATGTATGCAGTCTCTGACCCTCTCCTGTACTATGTCTGCAGTCTCTGACCCTCTCTTGTACTATGGCTGCAGTTTCTGACCATCTCCTGTGCTATGTCTGCAGTCTCTGATCATCTCCTGTACTATGTCTGCAGTCTCTGACCATCTCCTATACTATGACCGCAGCCTGTGACAATCTCTTGTACCATGTTTGAGGTCTCCGGCCCTCTCCTGTAGTATGTCTGCAGTTCCTGAGGAGGAGCTTGAAGAGGAGTCAAGAGCAGGAGCACTGTAGGGATGGGGGTCATGGGAGGAGTCAGACGTGTGTGGAGAGGAGAATATAGAATGATATCAGAGCCACCAAGCTGGAGCCAGAGAGGACCGTCTGACTGAGCTCTACATGGCGCACCTGGGGGGAGGTTAGTGATAGTGTCGCAAGGTCAGTATGAGGAAGGGGGGGCCACTGATGTAAGGGGAAGTGAATACAGCAAGGTAAGGGTGGGTACTGATATAAATATTCCCCCTTATATCAGTAAGACCCTCCTTACCTTAGTGTATTTACTCTGCAGAAAGCGGTCTGTGGTCACCAGAGTGCCCTCACCCACATCAGATCTCCTAATGTTCCCCCTTAAATCAGTGCTCCCAGAGTTCCCCTTTACATCAGGGTCTTTATGATTCCCTTTACAGTGCAAGGGGGAACTCTGCAGACTCTGATGTAAGTGGAAACTCTGGTGTAAAGAGAAACACTGTGGACTCTGATGTAAGGGGGGCTCTGGTGACCAGAGACCACCTTATATCAGAGTTCCTTTTTACACCAAAGTCTGCAGCATTCCCCTTTACATCATGATCTGAATTGTTCCCCTTTGTATCAGAGTTTCCCTTTACATCACAGCTCCACTTGCACTGTAAGGGGGAATCCTGAAGACTGTGATGTAAGGGGGAACTCTGGGCTGGATTATATTAACTTGACCTTCATGTAAATGGAAAAATATGGTTTTTGACTTTTCTTATAACTTAAACACATTGCTAATTGCACTATCTACATATTTGTAGCTTAAATATTGATATTTGCACTTAAAACATCCATTTTATGTACTTTTTGAACTGTACATTTGTAAATTTTGAGCATCCTGTCATTAAATTTCACTTCGGGGGGTTGGCTAAACTGATACTAATCCTCTATCAGAGCTGAAAAAAACCGACAATAATTTCCCTTAGGAATTAATAAAGTACTCTGAATCTGAATAACTGTTTGTGCTATCTGTAAAAATAATGCATTATAAAAATATAAGGCTTTAAAATAAATGAGAAAAATCATCTGCATGTGGTCAATTCTCCACTTTCTGTGGCTTTGTCAAGCATTACAGGTCTATATTGCTCAAACTGATTAGTGCAGTGGATTGACCAATTTGGAGCACATTGTATTCTGGCTAAAATTCAGAATTTTTTTCTTGTCTATTTTTATGCTATATTTTTGTTCAATAGTAATATACATATTTCATGCTTTGATATTTATCAAATTTTAGTCATTTGAATGTATTGCTAAGTTAGGTACATCAATATGAATTTTGTGTTCTCATATTAAGACAACTGTTAATTAATTAACAACATCAGTATTCATTGCTAATTACATCTTTGTGACAATAAACTTTGCTTTTATTGACAAACTCAGATGAAGACAGCAGGTGGATCTTCCTTAATGCTTATACTGCATATTCCATTTCCCTTCAATCCTCCCTTGTCAGTTGTCCATCATCATCATCTGCCAAACACGACTTACCCATTGTTAATTATCACTTATTTCTTATCAACCTTAACTCATAATTTATCCCTGATCTCTCTTCAATCATACTTTACCAACTGTCACTCATCTCTCATAAATTAGCATTTACCTGTTGTCAGACTTCACTTCTTTAACCATCACTTACCAAACACTTCCCGTAGGTCTTCACATGTGCCTCCCCATCCCTGTCACCTATTTATTCATCTCACCTTCAATGCTATGAATTGCAATATTTTTTTAGAAATGAAAATTTTGAACCAGAAAGATATTCTCAGGAAGAAGGGATTGGAATTGGGATTGGTATGTGACACCTAAGTGTGTTGCATTTTTCACATGAAAACATTTTAACATGTTAAATAAGCTGATAGTAATTTTTTCAAATGTCCCACAGACTGTAAAAAGTGACAACAGCTATAGATGGACTCTAGCAGGGGCGGACTGACAACTCATGGGGCCCCCGGGCAATAGGGGATCATGGGGCCCCTGTGTCCTTGCCCAAAAACAAAAAAGCCTATGAAAAAGGTAACAAGGGCATCTCATGGGGCCCCCTACCGACCCCGGGCCCTCGGGCACTGCCCGAGTTTCCAAATGGTCAGTCCGCCCCTGGACGCTAGTGTTTCTGCCTGCGACATCTCATCAGCATGGGCTTGGTGGCTCTAGCCAGTGGCGTGACTTCAGCGGAGCATGAATTGAAATTTGAGAGATTTTAGGCAATCCCAGAAAAATGTACAAAGTATATTTACAATTTCCTAGAAGATCTTCTCCTGTGCCAGAGAACTGTTGAAATTGACCTTATATCAAATAAATTTCTTCATGTTAAAAGTAACAACACTAAGTAATGTGTAAATGCACTATTTACCAATTTTATTACATTTTATAAGGATCACATTGACAATGCCTTCATCTGCTTTTGTGTCAGAAGGACGGCACCAAATTTGTTTAGGCATCATCCACTGTGGATTGAAATGCCGGCTCGGAGGTAACACAATATTGTAAATACTGGTGTACAGTATGTGTATTTCTTGCCTGTGTTCGCAAATATTTATTATTATTATTTATATCAGGTACTTATATAGCGCCATCAATTTACGCAGCGCTTTACATATATATATTGTACATTCACATCAGTCCCTAACCCACAAGGGGCGTACAATCTAAGGTCCCTAACTTACATTCATACATACACATACTAGGGCCAATTTAGACAGGAGCCAATTAACCTACCAGCATGTCTTTGGAGTATTTGATGTACTGAATATTTGATGTAGATCAGCTCCTGCTGCAGCCTCATACCTTGTGACTTGCTACAAAGTTATAATGCTGCAGTCTGATGGGAGAAAAGAAAAGAAGTAGACTGATAACATTTTCTCAGTCTATGCAAAGTCACTGAACTTAATGGTAACAGTTTTGTAAAATGTTATTACTTCTATATATTGTGACATGCCAGGAAATCATTCATATAGACTGAAAGATTAACTTTAAAGTCCGCTCCAGGTTCTTTTTTTATATGGCATCCTAGTGGGTTAATAAAAAGAAAAAAGAACCCTGCCTTCAATACTCACCTTCAATCTGTAACTGTCCCCTAAAGTACTGTACTTCTTTTCTGCAATAAGATGTCCTCTGTCTTTTAAGTTGAATGACACCCAGCATCACTCACACTGTTAAACTGAGGGCAATAATGTGAATGCAGGCCATCACAGGCCTGCCCCCGAAAGGGCATCATCCACGCACCCTTTATTCACAGCATATTGATATGGAAAATGCCACTCTCTGCATCTGGATAACCCCTCCACCACCAGCAGAATATTGACCCAGCAGGGTTTATTTACTAAAGCTGGAGAGTGCAAATTCATTCTCCCTTCTACATAGAAACAAGTGAGCTTCTAACCACAGCTGGTTCAATTAAGCTTTGGCAAAAGCTGGAAGCGATTGGTTTATATGCAGAAGTGAGTCTGATTTTGCGCTCTCCAGCTTTAGTAAATAAACTGCAGTGTGCCACGTGACCAGCCTTAAAAGACTTTAAAAAAAAAGTATTAAAAAAAACCCAGGAGAACATAGAGCATCAAGGGATCAACTGGTGTAAGGGATGAGCTTGTAATGGGGTTCAAAAGATACATGAAAAAACAGAAACGTAAGCAATGACCACAAGAGCTTAAAGTTTAATAGTATGCATTATTTTCACAGTTTTTGCTCCATCTTTTATTTAGTCTAATCTGTTATTTCTACAGTACTTAAATAACAAAACCAAACAACACGGCTTACTTTTAATTTTTCAAGGTGGTATTGATTTCAGAAGATTTATCCTCACTGCGCCCTTGTAAATGCATTTCTTATTAAAAATGAAATCTGTAATATTGATTGGGTAAGTTTCAAACCGATACCAGAGGATTACAATGAAATCAGAGTATGGACTACTTTTGATGTTTTCCTCGTGCTGCTAAAACCTAAATCCCCGGGAAACTTAGTAGCCTTCCTGTGGAGGCCACTTCTTGCCGTGATGTCAAGAGCAGCAAAGAGCTGAGAATGCACAAACAGCACAAAGATTTCACTCTGGGGTTTCAGTAGTCCAGTTTAATGAGTACACTCTACAGCTGTGAAAAAAGTTAGTACGTGATTTGACCATTGTCTCAGTTATGAAAGTAAATATGGTATTTCTTTACAAAATAAAATCACATAACATATTTACCTATTTTTTTTTACCAAATTTTTTAAACAATCAAAGGACGTAGAGGGAAAAAAGTATGCGAACCATTTGTTTTTGTAATCATTACATCCCCACACCATAGTAGCACCTGGGCTAACATGAGACCCTGAACCTCTGCTAAGTGGGAGTTTAAGGCAAAGCCTCTGAGGTTGTGACTCTTTAGAATCTCCGCCTAGAAGGGCCTTATGAAGGATAAGGGGGATTCCCTAAGTAGACCTTGTCTCAGGGGTATATTACACATATGCTTTCTGTAGATGAAGAAGTGCAAGTCCAGACTTGAAAGCAGTGTACAGTTTAAAGCTAAATTTCCAGTACAGATTTGATTGCATAGTTACATTGGATTGGCTTGGACCAATGTCAGAATGCATAGCCCATAACTGTTGAACCACGGTGAAAGAGAATAATGTATTGTTATCTCAGTTGCCCTTAGAAATCTAGTAACAGTGGGTTTTTCTATAATTTTTGAATGTAAAGTCACTGTAGACTCCGGATACGTGAAGGGTTTGTAGACCTTGAGATTGGTGTTGGTGACAAAGTAGCATGCACTTTGTGTTTGCTTTATGTTTCATCAAACTCAAATCTTGGACTGGGATTTGATCATGTTTCTCTGCCGAGTGGCAGACTTACACTTAAAGTGGAACTTTGGGTTTAAAAAAATGGGCGAACAGGCAGGATTCTTAATGCAGAAGAGACATGCTTTGTCTCTTCTGCATTAAAGCTACATACCTACCTGTCCATCCCTTGTACAGCTCACTGTACAAATTTGACAATGCGAATCTGACTATGCTCATACACATGCACTGAAGTGACATCATCCCCGCCCTGCCAATGAAAAATTATGGTAACCAGAGCTCCAGGGCTCCGTATTGCTTGAGCCAAGGTAAGTATAATTCTGCTTTAACTGACTCAGTAGTCTCACATCTACTACATCCTGCTGACGGTAGTTGAGAGGTCTTCTTATTGTACAGCCAGTCTCTGATGATGCAAAGGAACTTTGTACCTTGGATTTGATGATATGCCTGTGATTTTAATTCTTTTGTGATTATTTTAATACAATATTTTAATACAACTTTTAACATTTTAATAGGTGTTGCACTATGCTGATGCACAATATCTTTTATTTGACTTTTCAAAATAGCTTCGCACATGTTGTTTCGATCTAGAGAAATCAAGTTCCTGCTACACTTCCTTTTTCTTATTTTGTTTACTTTTGGAAAACACGGAGATGGTAAAAATGTAAAAAAGTACCTATATAAAAAATATGGCTTATATAAAAAACACTTAGGGGTTGATTTACTAAAACTAGAGAGTGCAAAATCTGGAGCATCTGTGCATGTTAGCCAATCAGCTTCTAACTTCACCTTGTTCAATTAATGTGGTTCTAAAGGTTCAAGGATTTTTACCTTCATGCATTCTATCCTGCTGCTGTAAATCAGGTTGGGAGGGGGCAGGGCCAAAACACGGCTCTGTGTGTGAATGGACACGTAAAGCTGCAGCTCGGGAGTGCGTCTGTTCAGGTACTCCCATAGCAAGCCTACAAGAGGGAGGGGCCAGGAGCACTGGGGGGGATCCGAGAAGAGGAGGATCGGGGCTGCTCTGTGCAAAACCACTCCAAGTATGACATGTTTGTTATTATAAAAAACAAAGCAAAACAAAACTTTAGTATCACTTTAAGGTTTTACAAAAAAAAGGAAGCTGATTGGTTTCTGTGCAGAGCTGCACCAGATTTTGCACTCTCCACTTTTAGTAAATCAAACTCAAATTATTGTTTTTATATGGTAGCATACATCCTACCAATATAAAGAGTTTTGCTAGTGACTCAATTCCCTAAAATCTGAAACTGCAAACAGCTTCTGTGAAACCTGTCTACTTGAGACCCAAGTCCAGTACTACCATGCAACACCGCCTGACACCTCACAGTACAAAGTGAACACTTCTCTACAGTCACTACCATGTGTACTTTGTATTATGGGATATGGAGTGCTATGCTAATTTAGTATTTGTAGGCTCAGGGCATAGTGCCCTGGGGCATTCAGAGAATTTTTTGGCTAGATTTAAATTTATCTGTGGGCACAAGCTGATCACAAATGGAAAACGGCCCCATTTATACATAGCCTTTCATGTAAGGTGTACATGGAAGGCCTTAGCACTGAGCAAACAAAACAAAATGTATTTTACAGCACTCTTTCAAGCTAGCCAGCAAAATATATGCGGAAGCCGCAATGTCTTTTAAAGGTTCCTCTTCTGCATATTGTGGTCCAAACTCTATCTTTTGGCACACCGTGCTGCCCACCATTAAGAGGTAGTTTTAATTTAATCACTTTTTTGATTGACAGGTTCCTTTTCAAGAAGCTTTGTAATGTGTATTACTTGATAAAAGCTTGAGGCATTTTGTAAAACTTGCCAACATAAGCTTTACTCGGCTTTGAATAAAAAGGCATAATTGAACATATTGCATGAAATGTAATCTTTGTCCTAATTGTTTGTAACTAACGTTCTTAATGTATCTGCATTATTTGATTGTAAACCTGCAAACAAATGATGGAATACAGTTATTGATGGCGGAACACAAATTACTGCCTGGCATGACTCCTATCTAGGCACAACAAAAGGAGGTGCTATTATTTCTCTTTCAGAGTACACTGGTATACAATACCTTTGAAATGAACATTACAAAAGATTCCAGAAAGAGCAGCAGTGGCTTTCAATCTTGATATTTAGGATTTTGTCTCCAGAATAGAACAAACAATCTTCATTCTCTTCATACCTGTGTGCAGCCCACTATTAACTGCCATTCAGCAGCAGAAGGAAAAGGTATAGAAACATGGAAAGGAATGCAATGTTATTAATTTATCACTTGCAAATCTAGGTCATTATTTTAAGGACCATTATAAAGAGCAACAGTATACAATAAGTCATTACATCAATTTAGGAATATTAGATACTTAAAATGGAACCTGTGAGGGGAGGGGAAAGAGTACTGCATTTTGTAATTAGTTTTAAATGTTTCAACTTTCATCCTGATCCTGGCTTCACTACCTAATGAGTCACTGCCCTGGAGCATATGCACTATATTGCCAAAC